ACAAATACTTTGGATGTTAAAATATTTCCTCAGAGCTGTTTACTGTTTGTTTTGGACAGGTTATGAAGGCAGTGGCAGTATAGTTCGGCTATGAGTGAAACGCAGGGCGGCGGTCTCAGCCGTGAGCAGTTCCCCACCGAACACGACTCCAGCTCGGGCACGAGAGCCAGCGCCGTTACGGTGGAAGCAGAATAACAGACTGGTCGTTTACACGTGAATTACTTCTGTTTAATGTTTAATATTTACTTTTAATGTTTGTTAAACGAGTTTAAATAGGCAATATGTATACATACAAACGATAAACAATGCTGTAAATGATAAATAAAGGAAGTTATCATGTAAACCAGCGGTTGTGTGGAGTATTTGACAAAAGTTTAGTGGATTTAAGTTAATCTGAAAACATTACTTCATGTATAAAGTAAAAAATAAACTATATTATAATAAAAATGAATCAAACCCCATATGTGTTCTGTCCTATATTTACCCAGCCCTTGGGTTAAAAACCCAGTTTAACCCAGTGTTTTGTAGAGTGCATTTTTGGGGCACGTTGCCTTTGTAGTAGTGAAACGAAGACTCAAAAAGCTCTGTGGGATCTCGTAGGATGGTGAAGAAGAAGGCGTCCGCTGGGAGCAGCTTCTCCACTTCAGGTGCATTGAATTGCATGTGGTTGCACACGATATTATAGCACAGGCCCGGCTGGTAGCTCTTCACTTGAGTTCGGAAGAAGCTAGACGGGTAGAAGAAGTCATTACGGCCGTCTGGTAGAGCAAACTTCAGCTGGTGCTTTTCTCCGAAGCGCAGGAGAAGGTTCATCAAAGTGCTGCTGGCCGTCCTGTGGGTCTTCATGAACATCAGGTTGACTTTAGGTGTGCAGGTCGCGTCTTCTTTGAGCGTTCGCTGTGAATTATTTCGTTCTTGAACGTTTGGTGCACAAGGGGCCAGAGAAACTCTGAAGAGACAGAAATAAAAGACAAACTGTCACAATCACTGATGTTTTGGTTAAGATATGTTGATTCGATCCATTTTGAAGACTTCGGAGTGTAGATGGGAAATGGTCCTTTAAACTTAATTTATTGAATATAATGAAATATATCAATTAAATAAAAATGTTAATAGAAATGCCTCAGATGTGTTATGTGCATGAAAACATGACAATTAAAAAGACTTATATTTATTTATATTTGAAAATAATGCAGTTATGTTTAAATTTTATTCCATTTTACTTCAGTCTTACATGCAACTTACATCAATGTTATGAATAAAGGCATAATTATACTGTATATATATATATATACAGTGGGTACGGAAAGTATTCAGATTGTAATTTATAGTATAATATATTTTTAATTTTTACAGAAAAGTTATAAATGCTATAGTAAAAAAAACTTAATGGTTAAATTAATTATGTTAGCATATGTGGTGAAAAACTGTAAATGTTTATGTAATTATATGTCATTTTACTGTAAAAGATACTGTCAAATTTATAGTTTATGGAGCTAAAAACTATGAATTACCTTGTTTAAAAAAATAAAATACAAAAAAGAATAGTAAAAGGTAATTTCCAGAAGTCTTTGCATGACATATGATTACATTTTATTTAAACAATTAAATTTGTCCTCATTTTCATTATCAGTAACGTGCATTTGGGTGATTTGTGTTACATTTTAGGTTATTTAATTTAATGTTTTTTTTAATGTCTGAACATGTGTATTGACCTTGTTTTATGGGCAGGACATGAACTTATGGTGAAATGTGATTATGTATTATGGTGGTTATCAATACATTGTGTGGTAAAAAAAAACATGTTTTGGCAGATCAAGTCGACTGGTATTAACATATAAATTCATAATTTACATAATGAAATGCATGGTTATAAGTTGTAAAATATACAGGCCTCTACTGTAAGCATTGTCAGTATTTTTACAGTGAACTACAGCTGGTGTTTTGTTTAATGTAAATTTAATGGGATATTTTTATATATCACAGAACACCAAAATAATGCAAAAACATTAGCTAAATAACTTTACATGTTACATAAAACACAATATTTACATACACATATACTGTACCTTACCTGTGTGTAGCCAGAAGTGTTGATGTAGTAAAACAGTAGAAACCCATGATGCAAATCACAGACTGCCCCCAAAACAACTTTTGCATCACTCGCTTTGCTCGATTCCCCACTTGATTCTTCCTTCCAAACTCTCCTGGATCCTTAAAATGAAATCATACAAAGACAAATGAGTCCACTCTGTCTAAACCTGCTTAGACTAGACTTAAAGGGGTCATATGATGCTTTTTTAAAGATCATTATTTTGTGTATTTGGTGTAACAGAATATGTTGACATGCTTTAATGTTCAAAAAACACATTATTTTTCAAATACTGTACATTATTGTAGGTCCTCTATGCCCCGCCTCTCTCAAACGCTTCGTTTTCTACAAAGCCTCTCTTTGGTTTTGAGACTTTAGTCTTTGCAACTTCGGGGATCTTATCTATGCACAATCAGCTTGTAACACTCCAAAGAGAAAGGAAAACTTGAAATCGCATCATATGACCCCTTTAAATGTTAGCAGGGCGTAGCAGGTGTTATATAAAGGAGGGGCACAGCTACCAGTCAATGTGACCCTAAAGGCCAGAACAATCACAGGTGCATTCATAAAACAGATGAGAAAAACTACAGCAAGGGTAAAACAATCCATGGTAAGAAAAATCAATTAGCAGCATGACAAACTAAACTTTTATTAATAGATCGTATACAGAAAGCTCCCATTATAATCACCAACTTCAATTCAGCAAAAACTCCTATTATAATGAATCAGCCCTTGTGTTTTGCTGAAAATCCTTGACCTAATTTGGTGTTCCTGGTCAAAAATGGCTTCCAAATCTCTCATTATGCGTTATTATCACCAAATCTTGGATTCAATCTTTTTGTCAGCTTGTTTTCTTCCAATTAGCACAGGTTTTGTACTTCTTTTTGGAACTGATTGATCGCAGGCCACACTGATCTGAGCTTATGCACCAGTTTCTAAATGAAAACAGCTTTATTTGTGGATAATTTTGACAATATTCGCTCAAACCCTGAGGTGCATGAGCTCAGATCCATGAGATCAATGATGATTACCAGCATTACCTCAAATCAAAACGTAGAAATTTGATTGAAAATAGACTTATACTCACACACTGTGTGTCTGAAAGAAGGACGTCTGTTTTTTTTTTTCTCTCCAGTGCAGTTAAGTTTGACTAATTACTCGTTGCCTTGCTGCTAGTTGGTCAAACTAGTTTTTAAGACAGTGGCTGTATTGTAACTGGCCCTTGCTGTGAGTTTAGGACATATTTTGCTTTTGTAAAGAGAGACACTTTCTTGACCTGTCTAGCTAAATTGATCAGAGTATCATAATGCATTGTTGTGTAAATAGTGTGTTTAGGAACTAGTTTTGTGGATTTGTATGCCCGTGTCTCAGTACTTATACTCTCTGTTGACACACAGTGTTTACATCTACAACAAATCTGTTTCAAAGATTCTATTCTGCATTTCAGCTCACCGTATAAATGCAGCATTTACTATATGAAGTGATATCAGTGATGCATAACAAGCGGACAAAACTAATCGACTTCTAGACCCTAACATAACATAAACCATAAACCATAACCATAAACAAACAAAACGATGACTTCAACCAAACTTGGCAATAAACATAACTGAATTACCATAACTACTATACCATACTTTTATAGTTTTATTAATATTTTGAATTATTCATTTATTCGTATTTGTATATTTTCCATTTTCATTCCGTTTTAGCAATTTTGTTGAGTGTTTGCTTGCTTTTTATTCATTTTTATTTCAGTTTGAGTTATTTAAGTACATCAAGTTAAACTAAATTAAAATGAGAAATATTGCTGAAATAATTTTTTTTTTTTTTTCATATTTTATTTGATTTTGGTTAACATTCTATTTATGTTATTATATTTTAACTATAATAAGCCTGATATACATGTGTTCATAATTTGTCTGTGTATTTTCCTTATTATAAGAATTTAAAGAAGAACAAAAAGTCATTGAAAAACGCATATAAATTCCTTTTTTAAAGGCTTAAGGTACTTGCATCACAACACATTCAACACACTCATGCATCTAAGGCTTTGATCTGAAATCACGTTTTGAAACTAATACAATATTCTTGCGTTGCCTACCTGATCAGTCCTTGTTAAAGCAGAATTGCATGATCACATTAATTCCCAAAATAAACCCAGAGATCTCCCATCATGACCAAAGACAGAGATAACAGTTCTCAATCCAGTGTTCCTGTAATTTATGAATTTATAGCTCTTATCCAGTCTTGGGAACCCGTCCTACTGGTGACAGAGAAAAGCTCGCTCCTGTTTTCTGTGAATGGGGCGGGACACTGTATTAGTGTCTGATGTTTCTGGGTCGAGCAATAGAAGAACACACCCATCTGTGATTTGATAAAAACATGAAAAGCTCAGCTTTACTGTCATCTTGTTTCATGTTTTATGAATCGTCTGATGTGGGAAATCCCTCTCTGTAACACACACACACACACACACACACACACACACACACACACACACACTGCTTGTGTTCTGTCACGTAGAACTGTGCAATGTGATCCACATGTTTACAGTGAATACAGACTTGCGTTTAAAACTTTAAATAATCAGTAAGTGTTTTTTAATACAATATGAACAGATTTATGAAGCAGATTCATCGTTCAGCATGTGCGTTTATCCAGAGTGACCTGCAGAGTTTATTGTTACAGGTTCCTGATGATATACCAATGTCCAAAAACACCATGCTACTTTTTTATGACAATGGAAATATTCCAAAAAATAGTAGCTATTTTTATGCTTTTTAATATGAATTACAGCAGTGTTATTTTTGTATCATTGAGATACTTTTTTGTAGTATTTTGAATTAGTTTTTATTTTTATATTTTCCGTTGTCGTTTAAATTTTAAAGTTTCAGTATTTTTTTTTATTAGTTTTTTTTTTTTTTTAAATATGTATATATAATTTTTACTCATTTTCATTTAAGTTCTAGTTTTAGTTATTTTACTACATCAAGTTAAACTAAATGAATAATAAATATTTTATGTTGCAAAATTGTTTTCTTTATGTTTGATTTGAAAAACATTACTATTATATATAAAAAATGATAATAACTGAATTAGCCTATAATATGAATATAAAGTGTTATATTAATATAAAATATTTCTATTTTGAATAAATGCTGTTCTTTTTAACTTTTTATTCATCAAAGAATCCTGAAAAACGTATCACAGGTTCCAATAAAATATGAAGCAGCAAAACTGTTTCCAACATTGATAATAAATCAGCATATTAGAATGATTTCTGAAGATCATGTGACATTGAAGACTGGAGTAATGATGCTGAAAATACAGCTTTGATCACAGAAATAAATTACATTTTAACAGATATTCACATAGAAAACAGTTATTTTAAATAGTAAAAATATTTCACAATATTACTATTTTTTCTGTATTTCTGATCAAAATAAATACAAATAAATTTGAAGGCGGTTGAGCACGACTGTGAATGGATCAGAGGTAGGTGGGCGGAATAATATGGATTATAATGAAGGGGAAGAAGAAGAATGGGGAGAAAATAGGAGACGGATGGATGACAAAAGAGCTAAAGGGAATAAAAGAGTAAGAAATGAGCAAGATGATAGCACAGAAAGTGAAGAAGATGGACAAACTATGGTCCAGAAAGAAAGAGAGGAAAAGTATGTAGTCATAATAAGATTTAATGAGAAGAACCAGGGGAGCATGAAGAAGGTTAACCCACTGGTGCTAACAACAACTCTGGCTAGCAAGATTGGGGATATAGAGTACGCAAAGGTCCTTAATGATGGCAATCTATTGGTGAGGTGTGCTGATGCAATGCAAATGGAAAAAGCGCTAAAAGTTAAAGAAATGGGAAAATGCAAGATGGAAAACACAGGAAGAGTGGGAGCTCGGATAGGAGGTGGAAGCACTGGAGTGATAACAGGGGTGCCTATAAATGTTAGGAAGAATTAAAAAGAAATATAAAAGGAGGGAAAGTACTTAATGTACAAATGGACTGACACGGGAAGACGTGAGAGACAACCTCACTATTCAGTCAAGCCAAGAAGCACCATGGGTTGGTTAATAATTTTAATGGTAATTCTTTTACAATGGAATGCTAGAAGCTTAATGGCCAATGGTCAAGAATTTAAGCATTTCATAAATGAATTAGAAGAGAAACCAGATGTGTTATGTATTCAGGAAACATGGCTGAAACCAAATCTTGATTTTGTAATACATGGGTACACAGTGTTAAGGAAAGATAGAACTGATGGAGGAGGAGGAGGGTGTGCTACATTTATCAAAATTGGATTGCCATATAGGTTACTAGAAGTGGGAGTAAATCAGGAATACATAGCGGTGGAGGTGTGGGAAAGAGGGGAGGGGATAAGTGTTATCAACTACTATAATCCATGTAAAAGGTTGTTGCTTGATAACTTACTAAGTATTCAAGGTCAGGACAGACAAAAAAGTAATCTGGTGCGTAGATTTCAATGCTCATAGCTCTATGTGTGTGTGGGGGGGGGGGTGATCACAGGGTGGTGGGAGACAAGAAGTAAGGGTAGAAGAAAGAATCTCAAAGTGGATATTTGAAAAAGCAGACTGGGATAAATTCAAGAAGATGAGTGAAGAAACAATGACAAGGATTGATATAGCTGGAAATATAGAGGATGTAAATAAGCAAGTTACTGCAGCAATTATTATGGCAGCGGAGAAAGCTATTCCTAAGGGGAAAAACAGAGGTAATCGAAAACTGGTGCCCTGGTGGAATGAGGAGTGTCACAAGGCGGTAAGAAAAAGAAATAAAGCATTCAGTCTAGTAAAAAGGAATCATAGCAGTCTAATTCAGTACAAAAAGGCGCAGGCAGAAGTGAGAAGAACTATACGACAGGCAAAGAATTTTTGTAATGAAATTGGAAGATCAACACCAGAAGAAGAGAGAAGGAGAAGGTCAGTAACTTTGAGCCAACATGTACATGCTTTAAAGGGGTCATATGATGCTATTTTAAAGATCATTATTTGGTTTGTAAGATAATGGAGGGGATGATAACAGATAGATTGTCATATGTAATGGAAAAAAGAGGGTTATTGGTAAGCTGTCAGAGTGGTTTTAGGAAGGGAAGGAATACAATGGTTTCAGTAATAAGATTAGAGACTGAAATAAGGAAGGCACAAACAAATAAAGATACCGTAGTTGCAGTATTACGATACGATGTGGAAGGAGGGGTTATTAATCAAGCTGAATAAAATAGGGATAGGTGGGAAATTGTTTAACTGGATAACTTTCTGTTTGGTAGGAAAATTCAAGTGAGAATTGGGGCAGAAATATCAAGCCAATATGAGTTTGGGAATGGAACACCCCAAGGAAATGTTATAGGTCCACTGTTATTTATTATTATGATAAATGATGTCTTTGTAAATGTTCCAGAAGACATTGGAATATCTTTGTTTGCAGACGATGGGGCAGTGTGGAAAAGAGGAAGGAATACATAATTAGGAAGGTTCAGAAAGCAATTGATAAAGTGGTAGATTGGGGATATGAATGGGGGTTTAGGTTCTCAATAGAAAAGACTCAGACAGTCTGTTTTTACCAGGAAAAGAATTCAGGAAGATAGGAGGTTAAGGATGTACGGCAGAGAGATAGAGAGGGTAGGATCCTTTAAATTCTTAGGCGTGACATTTGACTCGAGGTTGACATTTGCAGAACAAATAAAGAAAATTGAGGACAAGTGTAAAAAGGTAATTAATGTGATGAGATGTTTGACAGGAAGAGAGTGGGGAGCCAGTCGTTCATCTCTTAAAAGGATTTATGTGGCCTTGATAAGATCGGTGTTGGATTATGGTAGTATAGTGGTTGGGTCTGCAGCTAAGTCTCTTTTAAAGAGGTTAGAGGTTATTCAGACTCAAGCACTAAGAATTTGCTGTGGTGCTTTTAAGACTTCTTCAGTACCTGCTATACAAGTGGAAATGGGCGAAATGCCACTGGAATTAAGAAGGATTCAACTGATGGCTAATTATTGGGCAGGACTGCAGGGATATGATGACACTCATCCCACAAAAGCAGTACTGCAGGATTGCTGGGAAAATGGAAGAAATTTAAAGGAAAACTTTGGTCGGATTGGAAACAACGTAGCAAAAGAGTTAGAAGTGTTTAACTTGCGAATAAGCCCTACGGTAGTTTTTCCAGAGATTGCCCCTTGGAAGATTGCTTGGCCTGAGGTAGACTGGTTTGTGCTTAAGGAGAAAAAGAAAGCAATGGAAGAAATTAATTTGAAAAATGTATTTAATAACCGAGTAGGAGGTAATTATAGTGAATTCATACAAATTTATACAGATGGTGCTAAAAAACCAGAGACAGGAAAAACAGGGTTTGGGGTGGCAATTCCGGGAAAAGAAATAGAAATTAGTAAAAGAACATCTAATAAATTAGGAGTATATACAGTAGAGATGATGGCAATTTTAATTGCTTTGCAATGGGTGGAAAGGGAAGGGCAGGGAAAGGTTTTGATATGCTCTGACTCTTTAGCAGTTTTAGCGAGTTTAAGGTCATTCCATTCAAATGGGGATATGAATGGGGGTTTAGGTTCTCAATAGAAAAGACTCAGACAGTCTGTTTTTACCAGGAAAAGAATTCAGGAAGATAGGAGGTTAAGGATGTACGGCAGAGTGTTAGAGAGGGTAGGATCCTTTACATTTTTAGACGTGACATTTGACTCGAGGTTGACATTTGCAGAGCAAATAAAGAAAGTTGAGGACAAGTGTAAAAAGGTAATTAATGTGATGAGATGTTTGACAGGAAGAGAGTGGGGAGCCAGTCGTTCATCTCTTAAAAGGATATATGTGGCCTTGATAAGATCGGTGTTGGATTATGGTAGTATAGTGGTTGGGTCTGCAGCTAAGTCTCTTTTAAAGAGGTTAGAGGTTATTCAGACTCAAGCACTAAGAATTTGCTGTGGTGCTTTTAAGACTTCTTCAGTACCTGCTATACAAGTGGAAATGGGCGAAATGCCACTGGAATTAAGAAGGATTCAACTGATGGCTAATTATTGGGCAGGACTGCAGGGATATAATGACTCTCATCCCACAAAAGCAGTACTGCAGGATTGCTTGGAAAATGGAAGAAATTTAAAGGAAAACTTTGGTCGAATTGGAAACAACGTAGCAAAAGAGTTAATAATAAGCCCTACGGTAGTTTTTCCAGAGGAAGATTGCATGGCCTGAGGTAGACTGGTTTGTGCTTACGGAGAAAAAGAAAGCAAGGGAAGAAATGAATTTGAAAAATTTATTTAACAATCGAGTCGGAGGTAATTATAGTGAATTCATACAAATTTATACAGATGGTGCTAAAAAACCAGAGACAGGAAAAACAGGGTTTGGGAAGGCAATTCCGGGAAAAGAAATAGAAATTAGTAAAAGAACATCTAATAAATTAGGGGTATATACAGTAGAGATGATGGCAATTTTAATTGCTTTGCAATGGGTGGAAAGGCAAGGGCAGGGAAAGGTGTTGATATGCTCTGACTCTTTATCAGTCTTAGCGAGTTTAAGGTCATTCCATTCAAAAGCTCGGCAAGATATCCTGTATGAAGTGCTTCAATTAAACACAAGAATAGTTGCTTGGCCTGAGGTAGACTGGTTTGTGCTTAAGGAGAAAAAGAAAGCAAAGGAAGAAATTAATTTGAAAAATGTATTTAACAATCGAGGAGGTAATTATAGTGAATTCATACACATTTATACAGATAGTGCTAAAAAACCAGAGACAGAAAAAACAGGGTTTTGGGGTGGCAATTCCGGGAAAAGAAATAGAAATTAGTAAAAGAACATCTAATAAATTAGGGGTATATACAGTAGAGATGATGGCAATTGTAATTGCTTTGCAATGGGTGGAAAGGGAAGGGCAGGGAAAGGTTTTGATATGCTCTGACTCTTTATCAGTTTTAGCGAGTTTAAGGTCATTCCATTCAAAAGCTCGGCAAGATATCCTGTAAGTGCTTCAATTAAACACAAGAATAGTTCATAAGGATATCAGGTAAGATTTATGTGGGTCCCAGCACATGTTGGGATTAGGGGTAATGAGAAGCCGGACAGGCTGGCTAAAAGGGCACTAACAAAAGAAATGCAGGTTAATGTAAGTAAAGCAGAGGTTAAATGCATAGTATGGGAGAAAATCAATAAAAGGGGGCAAGAGAGGTGGGAAAGAGAGGAGAAATGGAGGCATTTATATAAAATTCAGAGAAATGTTAAAGAGGAAAGGGTCACTGAATAAAACACTAAAGATGATAGGGAAGCATGCAGACAGGGTTGTGTGAGGGATGTCGAGAAGAGGAGTCAGTGGAGCACATAATCATGAGTTGTAAGAGATATGAAACACAGAGGCAGGTAATGAAGAATAAACTAAGGGAGATTGGGGTGCAGGAGATCACATTACAAGGGTTACTAAGCACAGTAAATAGGGCACAGAGTAGAATATTGATTACTTTTTTAAGGGAAGCAGGGGTTTTAAGCAGGATTTGATGTATGATGTGTGGGTGGCAAGAGAGGTGGGAAAGAGAGGAGAAAGGGAGGCATTTATATCAAATTCAGAGAAATGTTAAAGAGGAAAGGTTGGAAATAGGAGAGAAGATGCGGTGATGACTAGGTTAAGGTTGGGACATTGTTCACTGAATAAAACACTAAAGATGATAGGGAAGCACGAGACAGGGTTGTGTGAGGGATGTCGAGAAGAGGAGTCAGTGGAGCACATAATCATGAGTTGTAAGAGATATGAAACACAGAGGCAGGTAATGAAGAATAAACTAAGGGAGATTGGGGTGCAGGAGATCACATACTAAGCACAGTAAATAGTGCAAAGAGTAGAATATTGATTAGCCTACTTTTTTAAGGGAATCAGAGGTTTTAGGCAGGATTTGATGCATGATGTGTGATGTGTGTGTGGATATTAATGTGATATTAATGTTTTAGTAGGAAAAGGGAATAACCTATTATCTGATCCACACTCCGGAGCAGAAGGGGGCGGTAATGCACCAATAAGCTGGATGCCAACCGCCGTTAAACTGGAAAGAAGAAGAAGAAGAATCTATTGTTATTTTAACTGTAATAACCCCGCTATAGCCTCCATCTGTGTGTGTTTTGTTCGCTGCAGTTGCTCGTCTCAGCCTGAAGGGGGCGGAAGTGTGTGTCACTTCCTGATCCGGGAGGTGAAGAAGACGCGTGTGCGCTTGTTTTCCCTCGGTTTTTATCACGAGCTGCAAATTACAGAGGTAAATCAAATTATTAATTTCACTTACATTTCATCTTTAGCCACATTCGCGCTCGAGAAAAAAGCCCGAGCTCGTTTTATTTGCTAGGTGTTTGTCGGTTTGCTTTGAGCAGTCGTTCTAACAAAGGAGCTAACAGCTAGTATGCTAATATGATTCTGTTGTAAAACACAAACATATCACACTTTTAGGCTCATTTAGGTGACTGCTATATATATATATTAGTGGAGATGAACCGGTTTTGGTTGCTATTTTGAATGAAATAGTGAATTAAATGCGTGAGATGAGAGATATTAGCAGCTGTCACGGCTGATTTGCATGACTCCTTTTATTAAATTATCAGTAAAAGTAGATTAAACATGAACAGATTCTATTATTAAATATCCAAACTCACATATTTGCGTAGTGATTCTCTTTACAAAGCTCATATCAGAGGTTGATTTAGCAGTTACTCATTATGTCTGTGTTGCATGCATGCTATATAACATATTAAAAGTCATTTTAGTAAGCATTAGCATGAAGTATAATCACTTAATATGTGACCCTAGACCACAAAACCAGCCATAAGTGTCACGTTTTCGAAATTGCTGAATAAATAAGCTTCCCATTGATGTAAGGTTTGTTAGGATAGGACAATATTTGGCTGAGATGAGATGATATTTGCCCTACAGAACAAGGTTAATTATGATTCGCAGGCTAATGAGTTAGTAAATGTGGTTTGCAGACGTTATTCAAATGTTTGATGGTGGATTGGCAGCATCAGGCCCTTGTTCCTCGTCTGATCCTCGTGTGTGTTCATTCTGATTGATTGTCCTTGTTTCTAAGTTTTCAGACTGTGGTCCTGGAGGGTCCTGTGCTGGGTTTCTTGAACTCGACACGTACTGCGACCGCCAGAGTTTAGAGTTGTAAATAGGGACTGTTAGAAGGACGGACTAGAGTTTGGATGTTCTGACGCGGAAACGCTCTATTTCCTCGAAGGCTGCAGGTCCAGCGGGGTTCAAGCCATGTCGGACGGACGGATCTACGTGGGAAACCTTCCAATGGACGTCCAGGAGAGGGACATTGAGGATCTCTTCTACAAATACGGAAAAATTCGGGATATTGAGCTGAAGAACAACAGAGGCACCATCCCGTTTGCCTTCGTGCGGTTTGAGGACCCACGGTGAGTCGCGAGGCCTCCGAGAACAAACGGACGAGGCTTTTTCACGTGTAGAACGAAAATTAGGAGCACTTTCCTCTCTTCCTCTAGGGATGCGGAGGACGCCGTCTTTGGAAGGAATGGATATGGATTTGGAGACAATAAGCTGCGTGTGGAATATCCTCGATCTTCCGGATCCAAATTTAGTGGACCTGCGGGAGGAGGAGGAGGAGGAGGACCGCGGGGAAGGTTTGGGCCTCCGTCGCGCAGATCTGAGTTTCGCGTTATTGTGACGGGTGAGTTAACAGGTTTGAGGCTAAAGCACCTTCACGCAAAAAGAATACGAGTTAAAATATTCCTGATAACAATACTTCAATTAGTTGTATAGCAGGGTTATTATAGTTAACTAAAACTATTATGAATTTCATTGTTAGCATAAAAAAAAATGAATTGCGAAAATAAAATGTTAACGAAATAAAACGTTAAAAAAACGTATTTTATTTCAGCTAGTTGCCAAGGCAACATTTCTAATTTTCATTTAGTTTATCTTGATGTACTAAAATAACTAAAAGTGAATAAAAACTATAGACGTATTTAAAAACGACAAAATTACTAAAACGAAAACCGAAAATATAAAAATAAAATCTAAATCAAAATATTAACAGAAATTATAGTAGGATATCAATGATACTAAAATAGCATGCAATAATTTAACAATATTATTTTACAAACAAACAATAAATAAATGACTAATAATAGCAATTATATACAATCTTTTAAACTGATATTCTAATATTTTCTTAGGAGATTTTTTTTAATGTCCATTAATGTATTTTCTGAGTATTAAAGGGACAGTTCACTCCAGAATTAATATTGTCATAATTTACTCACCAAACCCATAATTCATCTTCAAAACCGTAATTTAACAGAAGTTTAATGAAACCTGGGGTTTTCTATCTCATCATTGAAGAAATCTTCAAAGATTCAAAAAAGTAAAGGTTTTGGGTGAACTGTCTCTTTAAATACTCAGTTCATAATGCATATAAATACATATAAGTTCATTAATGAATTTTTTCTCAATATTATTATTATTTTATTTATCACGTATAAATTTGAACGATATTCATTAATTTATTTGTATTTGTTTGTAAAATAATACTGTTAAATTATTGTAAACAATTCATTGAATATTTATTTATTAAGACTATTTTTATTTCTTTTGAAAGTTTGACTTAAATAGTGCAAAATAGGATCATTTGTTTGCATGCATCTACATTTTACGCAGATGTTTACAGGACTTGTTCACACTAGAACTAGCGAGAAACGAAGCTTTTCGAAGCATTGAATCAGTTGCTTCGAAAAATGATTAAATGTTTCGAAGCACTTGAAACGGCACATGCTGGCGACACCTGCTGGTGAAAACGTTGTAAAAGCATCAAGAACTCAGACCAAACATACAAAACTAATGGAAATGTTTTTTTTTTAGAAATACCTTTTTTTTAAAATAAATAATAAACACTTAAATACTATTAAATATTAGTGTTTGTGTTGTGTTTTATTTAAGTATAATCAAACCCTTAACACACAATTAACTAAATTAATTATTTAATGAATTAAAATTTATTTTGATTTATGTAATTATTTAATTAATTAAGTGTTTTCATTAGAGCGGTCTATAAAAACCAGCAGGCAAGAGTAGTGTTATCAGTCAGGAGAAGGAGGTGGATTTAATTCTATTAATTATTCTATTGAATTCTATTTTATTTTTAAGGTATGATGTGATTTGTAGGTTGAAAGTACTGAATGTTTTTACACATTTTTTAAACTGTAGCCATCTGTGTTAAAGGGAAGTTATCTTTTTTTTTAACCCACAACATCTGGCCCTGAATTATTTTTTTATAGTAAAATTTCGTGGGATTTCATGTCACACGATTAACTGGGCAACCAGAAGTGGTTCATAGGTTCACTTTGAGATCAACATCCCCTAGTGGTGAACCATCGGAGTTTCGAAACTTTTCGAAACAGTGTGACATAACGAAGCTTCGTTTGCTAAAATCACGTGACCTGGCCGGGTTTGATACGCGCTCCGAAACACTGATTCGAAACAAAAGATTCACAAATGTTTCGAAGCTTCGTGAAGCAGTGTTTTGAACGCGCCCATCACTAGTTCACACAGTTCTCTAGATTAGTGGTCGACCGATATTGTTTTTTTGACAGCCGATGCCGATATCTTGGAAAGCAGGGTGGCCGATATAATTTTATTTATTTTAATTAATATTTAAGAAATTTGAAATAATTTGAAAATTGATTAAAAAATAAATGTTAAATAAACATACTTATACTTTAGATGACAAAGTATTTTTCACAAATAAATAAATATTTAATAAAAATATAATTAAAAAGGAAGTAAACACTGTAACTAGCAAGACGCTCAGTATTCTGGGAAGTTTGTGTGCATTAATCATATATTTTTTTTTCAAATAAAGCCAAGGTAACACTCATTTTACATACAGCACATGTTTGCTTTTCTATTACTAATAATATAAAAGCAATCATTATAAGACTTTTTTTGTATACATTTTAATTCCTTTGTTTAACAGTTCTATCGGATTATTAGACAGACTTCTATCCGTATTAGACAGAACTGTTGACGACAGCGAACAAGAGGGAGAATGTGAGCACTATGTGCGCCTCAAGCGCTGCCGTTCCCAGCGCAGTCAAAATAAAAGTCACGCCTCGAAAGCATCGGCCAAACAGGAAAAACTTATCGGCCGATGCCGATATTTAAAAAAATGCCAAATATCGGCCGATATATCGGTCGACCACTACTCTAGACTGTAACATATGAATGCATTTGGCTCTTCCTGCAGGTCTTCCTCCCTCCGGCAGCTGGCAGGATCTGAAAGACCACATGCGGGAGGCTGGAGACGTGTGTTTCGCTGACGTGCAGCGTGACGGCGAGGGTGTCGTCGAGTTCCTCAGACGAGAGGACATGGAGTACGCACTGAGACGCCTGGACAGCACAGAGTTCAGATCCCACCAGGTCATTAAAAATCAAAAGAAAAGAAAACTCCGACATATTCATATTCAGTTCATCCCTCTGGGTTTTTATTTTATTTTTTTTTATAAGGTTATTCAGTAAAACTGTTTATTGTTTGAGATTACTCTCTAATTGTCCTTTTGAAGTGAGACTTCTCATGCATCAATGGTTTAACCCCTTAACTGTCACCCCCCATTTTTTAAAAATAGGCATGAAAGTGCACTATCCAAACTTAAATTGTTGTGATTTATGAACACTTTGGAATACAGACCTAAGGTTGGTCTCTTTTTAAAGAAGAAAGCAGATTATTGCAAAAGTGGAGTTTAGTTTTTTCAAAAAATTAAAGTATCAAAAAGTTATAGAAGTTTAAATTTGCTGTAAATAAAATTCACTATTTTATTTATAATAAATATTTTACATAACAGGTTTTACTCTAAAATTTGTATAAAATTAAAGCCTTGTGTCTAAATAAGTTATGTTCCAAATTTGAAGTTGATATGAAAAAAATTGAGGTTCCTGTGAGATTTTATTTAGGGCGTCATACCACAAACAGCCACCGGGTGCCATCAAAACTCCATTAAATTTTTTTAATGCATTTTTCTGTTACAAATGTCTAGATTTCTCTGTCAATATTGCTTCTAACCCAGCTAAAATCATTTTTTTGTGATTTACTGTTTTCTACATAAAATCATCCTTCATAAAGATGTAGAACATTCTGTGAAAATATAACCTTTATATCTTTAATATTGACTGAGTAAGGCCATGTCAAAGATTGAAATCAGTGTGAAATTAATGGTTGAAATCAAACTTTGATGCTTGTTATCTCATAATTAGATTTTGAGACTTTAGCCTGGATTTCACAGACAGGGTCAAATTTTTTCAGATCCGATCCCAAAAATTGTGAGTATTGACCGATACTGATCCAATACTAGCACAGTTTATTTATTTATTTTTAATCAATGTAGAATTTCTAAACCTCTGTGTGTTGACCTGATCATCACTGTTTTGTGTGTTAAACACAATCGACTAAATATAGACAACTTCGTTATACAGAGAAAAAAACAAATGAAAAAATATGTAATCATAATCTATGACAAAAATACTATTAGAAACTAGGTTAGTGGATGATTCAGCAGCAAACGTTCCTCTAGAAAAATTATGAGTGCACATTCATTTTATAAAATCTAAACATTTAGTGAAAAAAACATTATTTAGTGGGGAACAAATCAAAGTCTGATAAAATGTTACACATTATATTAAGTAAATATATGCATATATAAATTAAAAGACATTTCTTTTAAATGTAGAGCACAGTAATGAGGCAGCAACATATGACAGATAGGACAGAACAAGAATAATTAATAATTATTATTAATATTAATAATCTTTCATTGCGCAAAAATCGGAGCGATACCGATACTGAATATCAGATCGGTGCATCCCTAGTTTATACACACTGATATTTCTGTTTATCACATAAAGTTTCAGATACACTACCATTTAATTTAAATTATAATTGTATTTTTGTTCTTTCAACTTATTTTTATTTTGATCATACATTTTTTTTTTTTTTACGTTCTAGTTCTGCTATATGTTTGTGTTTGTTAATTAATAAAAATGGGGTCAGTAAGATTAAGAAATGAGTACTTTCACTCAGCAAGGATGCATTAATTAAATCGATCAAAAGTGACAGTAAAGACATTTATAATGTTCCAAAAATTATTTCAAATAAATGCTGTTCTTTTGAACTTTAGTCTACAGTTTAATATTTTTGCATATAATCTATTATTATTTTTGCATAGACTTCTGATCTGAGGTTAGGTGGTTTCAGGACTAGCGATGATATAATATATAAAATATACTTTTAAACAGAAAATCAAATCTTAAGTGCATTCTAGTGATCATAAAGATTTCTTTTTTAACCTACTATTTATTTATATTTAATGCACATCGATGTAGCTAACCAGGTTACAGTTCACTGCAAGTTATATCCTAAATGTGACCCTGGAGCACAAAAGCAGTGTTAAGTCGCTGGGGTATATTTGTAGCAATAGACAAAAATACATTGTATGGGTCAAAATTATAAATTTTTCTTTTATGCCAAAAATCATTAGGATATTAAGTAAAGATCATGCTCCTTGAAGATATTTTGTAAATCCGCCCCGTTACCGATCACCCCCGCGTCACATGACCCGCCATAGCCCACCCTCCCGACGAGCCCCGCTCCAGGATCACAGCCCTCCGCCGCGCCACTATCGATGAGCGGCTGCCTCTCCACCGCCACGACCCCTTTTCTTTCTTAATTTAGTAATTTACATTCCATTGTAGGAACCTGAATGGCCTTGTTCACCGTTCGGTTCACGGAGAGCTTGCGGATATGTTAATAATCACGTGGATGATGCTGTAGATGTTTACAGATGTGGTTATGATTGTGAAAGATCTGAAGATGAATAACCCGTTTATCCTTTGGGATTATTGACATGAGGCAACAGACTAAAGATGTGTTGTTTGTGATTAATCTGGTCCATTTCATAGACATTGACTTTTATTATTTTTTATGATTTGAATAAAAGGCTGCAATTTTAAAATGTTTCTTTCTGGAATCTCCCCATGTGATTTTTTTTTTCTCTCTCTGGTTTTGTATCATGTGATGATTGTTTGCATAATTTTTTTTTTTTTGCAATTAAAGCATTGAATCAAAGTTACTCTATACTGAGTCGTTTTTACAAACTACTGTTTTGCAGGAATAATGGAAACAGTTTTAAAAAATCAAGTCACTGAATTATTGGTAATACAATTGTGCATGTTAGTTTATTTTACAGTGCATTATTTAAAAATGCATTATTAAATGTTGGTTAATGATGCATTAACTGATGTTAACAGACATTAGATTAACAAATGTTGAAATGATTAAGATTAAATAGTTTACAAATATCGTTTGTTAATGTAGTTAATGAGAGCTTATTGTAGTGTGTTAATTAATTTTCTATAGCAGTTATTATTTTGTAATTATGCTGGGCTCTCAATATTTCCTTAGTGAGATGTTTAAGCAGATGCATATTTAGTTAATTAGATGATTTCTTGTATTATCTAAGCCATTTGTCCACGTAATATGTAATTGTTTAAATCTTTTAATTTCAAGGATTGCTAACAAATGGAAAACATAATCACAGCTGATTAAAAGCATGGAAATGCATTGGTCTAAATGTGTGAGAAGCCCATTTCAGACTAATTGGCAAAATCAGACTTTTTAGTTTAATTGTTCCATTGGTGTAATAGACTGATATATTCTGATTTGACTAGACGTCATTGATTTATTAGGCCAATCAGCGCTCGCCACTGACTGAGCTGACCAATCAAATCAAAGAAGGCGGGGCTTTACTGCACACTGGAGTCGAACATGAATTTCAGCAGCACGGTCAGGTAAGATTTAAGATACTAAACATGTAAGATTTGATAATTGTTTTACGATATAAATGTTAAACGGCTAAAAGAAACACTATTCGAGTCACTTCGGCGTTTTGAGTGTAAAATATAGGGTGAATCGTTTCCGCGATTCATGTAGGCTGTTTCATTACTGAATGTAGCGAGACCAAAAATACATTTAGCCGTTTAGATTTTTCGACATAATGGCCATATACGAATAAAAGTTAATGTGCCCATATTTTAAAATAAAATAATAGTTTTTCTTTCTATATTGCCTTAGATTAGTGGCGGGCGCTTTCGAAACTTCGCGAGGCTTCGAAACCTTTGCGAATCATTTGTTTCGAGTCAGTGATTCGGATCGCGCATCAAACCGTCACGAGTCACCATGGAAACGGAGTAACGGACGCTAAGAAAAAGCGCGCCATACTGCTTCTTTCTTCTTTTGTTCGCCATTTTTGGGTCATTCTACAGAAATGTCCACTTTTGCTATGGCAAGATGTCTTAAAATTTATTTATTTTTCTAACATTTTAAACTTAGACCACAATGTTAGATTACCTTTTGACTTTATGAATACATATAAATGACAGCTTAAAGATTTAAAAAAAAAAAAACTTTTTTGTGCAATTATTTAAAGACCACATGTACCATTTTTTGTCGCTGCTGTTACCTTCTTTAGCAATATTAAAGGTTTTTATGAAATATTATTTCTAGGGCTGGGCAAAAAAAAATAGATTTTTCGACTAATCGATTTTTTTAAATGACGTCGATTTGATATCGATTCTCAAAAGCCGCGATTCTTTTTAATTTTAACAGTAAATCTCTGTTGTGCAGCACTATGTTTGCCAAAAAATAAAAGGGTTTACTTTTCATTTGATTAGGATAAATTAAATTAATGTTTTATGCCTTCATCTGATTACCAGAAAAATTAAGAACATTTTATAGGGCCCTACTATTGTTTAAAAAAGGACCCATACAAAAAAAAGTATAGGTTTAAAATACAGGCATGTGGTTCTTAATTTCTTTTTATTAATTCACCATTTGTAAACTGATGTTTACTGTTCATTTTTTAGAAATATCAATAGCATTTGTATTAAAACTATATTCACTGAATGTAATAAAAAAAATCGAGAATCGAATCGAATCGAGACATCTGAATCGATACCCAGCCCTAATTATTTCTCGATTTTTTTTTTCAGCATGTAGTCAGAGTTACAGAAAAATAATGAAAATGCAAGAAATAAGGAGATTATATTTTATTTAATGTGACAGAAAAAAAAAAAACACAGTAACACCAGTGACGTACATAAGACCTGATATACTGGTCTTCACTGTTGTTATCCATAAGGAAGGTGACAATTTTCATGAAAAATGCATTTTACAAAATGGCTGCTGCAAAATATCAAACCACATGTTGTCAATCATGGTATACTCACTATATTAAGTAGTTTAATCCATTTGTATTCTAGTTGTTTTTTACAATTCCCTAACAATAAAGTAGGTCATACCAGTGACTTCAACTAAAAGCTTCATATGAAATCATGAGATAAATGAGAAAATTTCTGATAACTGAAAAGAAACAGTGGACTTAACATGGGCCTTTTTTCATAGATCTTCAGTAAATAGGAAGAAGGAAGTCAGGTGATGTCAGTGCTATTTTTATTTCAAAATAAAAGATTTTTGTAAAACGGTAACACCAGTGACAACTCCAGGGGACCACTATTTTCATTATATATTTTATAATATTTATTCAGCATTTCGTTTTTTATGCCATTTATATCATATATTTGATACATTATTGTATTTTAAATGGTAGAAAAACCAGTTTTTGACCATTAAAATAAAGCACTCTCCCTCTGTACATGGCTGTGGGGACGAGCAGTTTTGTGATTCTTGGACTTCTATGTAATTAATTAAAAACAAATATTGCCACATTGATGGCTCAAGAAGGTGTAATTGTTCAAATAACATATTGCTTCATTTTAAAATATAAAGAAATTGTAACCCTAAAGTGTTTCTCACGTGTAATATTTCTGTGTAATGACCCATTTACATCAGTGCATACCGTATGGAAGAAAAAAAGTCAGAATTGTGAGTTTATATCATGCAATTCTGAGGAAAAAAAAATCAGAAATGTGAGATGAAAAAGTCGCATTTTTTTAATTCAGTGAGAAGCGAGCTTCCATAATATCGCCACCTAATTGGTGGTTGTGCAATCATTTTTTAATCTGGTCCTTGTCTCAAACCTTGTTATAATAGTGCTTAATAGTTAATATACAGTATATTGATATAACTTAAATATTACCTTTTGGGTACACTTAAATATTACATATAATAGTGCTTTTTAATATAGATCTCTATTGACTTGACTAACCCGCTCCATAAAATACACAAAACAAGCCCTGCAGAGGAACAAAACAACACATATTATACATAGACTTCACTCTTAGATGATTTGTTCATTGCATTTAATAGATTGCAATATCAAAAAACACTTGGAATTGTTTTGTAAAAGGGGTTTTAATGCATGTTTTGCCGTTTTCGTTGCAATTACAGTGTTCTGACCAGTGCTTCTAAACCAAATTATTTTGTAATTGGTTCAGTTGATTCAAAGATTCGAAAAGCTTAGTTACGGCCTGGAGGCCCATTGCACACTTTGTGGAAGCATCAAAATGGTTGTTCTCATTGTTGGCTTGCAATGAAAAATAATGAAAATAAAAATAAATCACCCACCGCCACACTGTTCTACATTAACAAACCTGTTCTGAGACACGCAGGAAACTATGGAAGCTTGCTTCCAACACGGAGAAAATAAATAAATAAATAAATAAAAGTAACTGCGACTTTTTCTCGCAATTTTTTTTTTTTTTAGCAATTGTGAGAATCAAGTCAGAATTGTGTTATAAACTTCTTGCGTCGTTTATTTCTTACAATTCTGACTTTACTCTTTATTATGAGGGAAAAACAAATTAATTGAGATATACACTAAAAAT